AGCATAATTCGAATATATTTCCATTCTTGAATTAAGTTATCAATTTCAATAAATGGCGCATAATAAACTTCTACGTACATATAAAAAATTCTAAAATTTAGCAAATTTTAAATTATTAAATTAATTATAGTTATTATTATTTATCTTGTATAGTTTTACTTGTACCGTAAAAGTTAGCAATTAATGCAATTTCTTTATTTTCATATTCAGTTGGTAATATTGTTCCTGGCAAATTACGTGGGTCAAAAATATAAAACGCATTAGTAGTCTCATGATCGGGAAAACATGCTTGAAGATTTTCGATTGTTGCTTGAGCGAATTGCTGTATATGTGGTAAAATATCACTTGTCAAAAGATCTTCTTCATACATAAATTGACGTAAGTGATTTCCCTATGTAGGTTCTTGATTATCAGTTTCTAAAAAATCAAATCTAATTTTTTGAATTACCGTATTGATTTGAATTTTAATCTCGTACAATAATATATTATCAGCTTGAAAAATAAGTATCAAATGTCGAAGATCACTGAGAATATCAGCCAAAAAACTTGTAGTAAGTAAAAATTTCTGATCAAACATATCAAATAATATACTAGCAATTTTTGATATTGCATAATCCTCTTGAAGTGCTCAGATTATTGAATTAATTATACGATGTAGATTAGAAACAATATTTAATAATGATAACCAACGCGTAGTTACAATTTTTAGTAAGTGGAGTTCAGGCTCTTCTAATCGAGCTTCTATCATTTTTAAGTGTTCCATTCGTAAATAAGAGTTACTAAAATAATTATAAAGACTTCGAACAATATTATTATATTCAGCTAAATATGGAACTGCAGATGCCGCATTTTCACTTGCTAGTGCCAAACGATGAGAAATACAATGATGTTCCATAAGATAAGGATTTTTTTTTTTAAATTGAGCAGCAACACCATTATTACGTCCTTATTTTAAAAATAGTTAAATATTAAAAATATATTACTAATTTTAAATTTAAAAAATTTATTATAGCTACCTAACATTACTGATGCATCGTCACTTCCTATATTTATTAGACGATCAATTGGCAAATTTTTTGCTTATATAAAAATACTTAATTCATTGACAATTGCATCTGCTGTCCCTTCCTTAAGCTCAATCATTCTCAAATAACGATAAACTGGTAAGTTTTTCGAAATATGTTTAGAAATAATTGCAAGATTCTTATCCATTGTAACCATAGTACTTTCGTCTATTATAATACTCTAAACAGGAGACTCCTGAATCTCTTGGCAAACAGCCTCTTCGATAACTCTTCCAATAGCATCAATGAATTCTCAGGCTGCACGTTTATTAGAATAGCTTCCATAATCAGCACGTGATTCTTCTAATAATTTAAATAACAGATGATCAAGAGTATAAATTTCTAATGGAGTATGTATCTCTTCTGTACACTTAACATGATATTTGGTTAAAGACGTAAGATCAGTAATTTTAGATGTTGCAACAAGGTTTTTTGCCAACCAATAAGTATTTACTAAATTCCGAATAACAGATAAGTGACTAGTTCCAAGTTGATTAGTAAAGCCTATTTCAAGGCTAATTTGTAACTTATCTCATGTCTTTATTAATTTTTGATGATCTTTAGTTTCTATATGTCATTTAATTGACTGTTCTTTAAGATACTCACAACCAGTAACGAAATTATTATTCAATTTTGCTGATTCACAAAGCTTACAAAACAAGGCAGACTTTTCTTTTTTTTCGCCTAAACGTAACCAAGGATAAGTTATTTCCCAAATAGGATTCCACTTAAGATTTTCTTTTAAAAGCCGAACACCTTTTGGCTTGGGCTCTTCATAATCACTTGAAAATTCATTATCGGAATTATTCTCACTTAAACTAATTACTTGATCTCCATCTAAACTAATCATATTATCCAAACTAGTCGTATTGCTAGATGCTAATTTCTCATTAGCTAAAATATTGGTTTCATGTTTTTTAGCACTTTTTGCAATGGTAAAAGGGGTTTCTAATGTATTATTAACTTTTTTTTCTTTTTTTTTTTCTTTTTTTGACTTCTTCGAAATCATATTTAAAGTAAAAAAAAAAGATGCAAAATTACATTTGCAAAAATAATTAAGATAATTTATATACAACACAAGACAATATTGGAAATGTATGAAAAACAGTAGAAACGGCGTTCATAGAAATATAATCCTAAAACAATTTTGGTTAGTGTGTGAATGAAGAGTTTATTAAGATTCTAATTATTCACATATCAGGATATTTTTTGATGTTATTAATTATAGTACTCTGATAGTAGAAAGTTAGTAAACCCGTAAGTACGTACAATTTAAGTATTTAATTAATTTCTTATTTTAGAAATTATGATATAATTCATTAATCACAACTCCATTGTTAGA